CCCATATCTTTTGCTGCATCGCGGGCTCTGGTGCGGGCTATGGTGAACGATATCCAGTCGCTGGCGTGAGCCCCAGCCCCGTCAGGGGGTCCCTCGGTTTGAGCAGAGGATAATACCATCGCCATGGCCGAGGCCCCCAGCGAAAAGTAAGCTGGCCCCGGTCCGCCCCGCTTTCAATTTCCTGTCCCCTATCTCTGTTGTGTTGTCAGGAGCCATGCTAATGGGAGACCCCTTTTCCCGAATCCATCCTCGGATTCTCTCATCCCTCTTGATACGTGCAAAGGGTGTCTCTGAGTCGCCGCTTTCTCAGCTTTCTGAGGGGTGGACAAAATTCGCAGCGCCAGCCAAGCGAAGCCATCGGCCGACATGTATGTCGAACTTGAGCCCTCGCTTCCCAATAGCCGTGGTTGTTCTAAATCCATCGCGCGCACACAAACACACACCTACATGTATCGTATGATGACCGCCCCCTCTTGCTTTTTGCATTGGTCACCTGAGTATCAGGCGGCCCTCAACTCGACACCATCAGCACGAATGCACTTCAAGCTCAAAGATTGGCTGGAAGACCTCGACGCCAGTAAGACCGTCTCGAGCCGTGTCAGCCACCTACAAAAGTATGTATTGCTGCTGATGCTGCTCCAGCCGCGGTCTCGAGTGGCCTCTGTGGCCCTGCACCCATCCATGCAGGGCCTCATGCCCTTGCCGCCCGACTCCTGTCTATTCATCACACATGGCCTGTTAGGCTTTTGGATCGCCTGCCGCGCTACAAGTTGGAACGGGACGAAATCGAGCAGCTGTGGCTCTCCGTGCGTGATTTGATGCGCGAGAACCAACCGCGCACCGCCCGCGAACTCGTCTTCGCCTTTCTTGGAGCCATCACTCTTCGCCTTGACGCTGATCTTCAAGCCTTTCGGGGCCACTTTCTTCAAGTAGGAACCCTCTCGTTGTTGCTTGGCGGTCACTCACGGATGGCGGCCCATAACAGACCCCGGCCCACGCTTGTTGTCTAGGTGTTGCGCAACCATGATGTCCCGGAGGATGCCGGCATGATTGTTCGTGTGCTTACAATCATGACTCGAGGTGAAATCGTCGCTCTGGTACACAACCCTAGAATAGGAAGAAACCCATCCAACCCAGCCGTTCTGGTCGTCTGCGGCTCCTCATTACAAGGCTTTGCCGTCCCTTTTCATCCGACCCGTAGAGGGCACCGACGTCGCTTTTATGGAGGAGCAGCTTGGCATGCTTCTCTCAGAGCTACTCCCACTCTGTGTGGAGCATGGCGGTCTCACGGAAGCGTTTGCTTTGACGGCTGGTGCGACGCGGCTCTTGATCGTGCAATCTTGACCATGACCTGTCAGCCCCTGTCGGTCATCTCACTTCGGTTCAAATGCCTGTGCTCTTGCTGCCTCTAGGCCTGGTGCGCCACCACTTTAACATCTTGCACCACGCCACTGCCCGTGAACTGCTCTCCAACATGTGTACCACCTGCCAGGTGTGGACTCTTGCGCCACTGTCATTACAACTCCTACAATTTCCGCCTTCTCACCACATCTTTTGGTCGGGCCTCATCCATTCAGATGTCCGAGGATACCGCTGAAATTCAAGGCGCTCTGGCCGTTTTGCGAGAACTCACCATGGGTCAAGTTGTTCCCATCATCTGCCTTCCCGAAGTCTTGGAGACGCTAGCCCAGTGCGTTTGAGGGTGCCAACCGATACCGTGGTGGTATCTCCTCGGCCCCAACTCATACCCTCTGGCATTTTGTAGAGCGGCTTGTGTCCAAAGCTTCAACATGGAGGCCGGTGTTCTCGTGCAAAACATTGTGAACAGCTCTCCACAACTTGGCCTGCTTTGCCTGCGGTGCGGTTGCCGTTTATGCCGTTGTGCATTCAGAAACCTGCCGTGGTTGGGCAAAAGAGGGCAACGTGGCTTGGGCCGTGCATGCGTGTGTGCATGGGTTGCTCATGACCAGTTTGGTGCAGGCATTTTCTGGATGTGTTGCAGGAATCGGCTGTTCATGCCTATGGCGCCGAAGCCGCCATGGTTCGCGCGCAATCCCTGCGTGGCACCGTCAACATTCTCTCACGACTGGCCTGGCGCGGTATGTGCCATCACCGAATCGGAAATGTCGACATACCTATCACCTTCGCTGCTGCCCGCATATTCCATGACCTGGTTTCTTGCATCGCTTGTAGATCTAGAGGTGCAAAACATTAGCATAGCGCCACAGCTGGTGCTGCCTTCCTTCCTCCCTCTTGTCCGTGCCGAGCTCAGCGGTGTCGTGTTTGAAATTGTCTTGTCTGTACGCCATCTGATGGAGCGACGCAAGCGTCTCTCTGGCACCGCGTGGTCAGCCGTGTTCAAAATCTGCTTACATGCCAGCAAGTGTTTGCCCTCAGTGCAAGATGCCAACCTGCAGTTTCAATTGGTATGCGCGCACTGACAACCACGATGCATTTGACGCCGTCTTGCTCATCTTGCACTCGTTTCTTTTGGTCCGTCACCGATCGTCCTCACGATATCGCCGTATGTGCCACAGACGATCAACCACGTTGTGCAATGGGCCCGGCAGCTCCTTGAACAAGACCGATTCTTGGGCGATGTCGAGGACATTTACCGCATGCTCGAACTGAGCAACATCAAACATGACGTGGCCGAGGCCATGGAGTTTTATGTTCTCCGCCTCAGTCCACTGCATGCCGACTGGCTCTATCGTGCCGAGCTTTTCATCAACAGCTTCATTGTTCGTGAGAAACGACGCGCAATTCGGCTCAAGGCCATTGACCATATGAGCCGCGTGGTTCAAACTAATGCCTTTGTTTACGATCAGCAACTCTTGCACGGTAACGTCCAGCCCATCCTGCGTTGCTCCAGCCCCGGGGCTCTCGACGGTGGTGTAGCTCACATCGCGGTTTTTTTTTTTTTTTTCTTCTTGTTTGTTTTGGCCTGGCCAGGTCCCATTCGAAAGCACCTGAGCCACCTCTATCAAGAGCCCGACGTTGCGATACAGAAGCGTTTGATCGAATTCTTCACGGAGATTGCTCGAGCTGCCGAGGAGTGCTTCCCAACATGCATGGAGATTCTGGAACAGGGCTTTGATCTCATTTTGGACAGCTCTCGTCGCCCACCAGCTGCCGGTGGTGGTGATGGTGCGTTGCGGTTTTAGCAACGCTGTCCCCCTTTCGTGCCAACTCTCACCGCCTGTCTTGTTTACGTGTGTTTTCGGCATTTTTGTCAATGCAGCAACACGCTCCACTGCATCGCTCGGTCTGGGTTCAGGCATAGTTTCTACTGATCTGACGACTAGCGAAACAAGCAACTCAACACGTGGCCGCGAGGACGTAACCAACAACGACGTGCTGACCACATTTGTCCAATGCTTGGTCAGCCTCGCAACTTACAAGTTTGCGCGGGGCCCGATTCACGAGTGGGTCCGGCCTGCGCAGCTTTTAGTACAGTACACGCGGTTTGTGCTCTCGCAACGCCAACTGCGCAGTCCAGAGTTTGCTATTGGTGCTCTGGGCGATACAAGTGACACCAACTTGGAGGTACACGCGGCATACGACGACATGGACTGCCCCCCAGCACTGTTGGCGGCCTTTGATTTCTTGTCCAACCTGCGATGGGATCCTGGGCTACGCGTATACTTGACGCCCGAGATCCCCGCCAACCTGTCCAGCATTTTCATGGTCCCCACTCAGGAAGCCCTTCGACAAACGGCCGTCGAAAGCGATATTGTGCCCATGATGCGCGCCGTCTTTGACATTCTTAGCAACTGTATCATGAAAATTGTGCCCTTTGAGCTCACGCGCCGTGCAGCTGCGGCCTTGTGTGACATGCTTACCTTGACCCAAGTGTTTCATCTTCACCTCATCGATGCCGATCGACTGGGCCACGCTGTCAGCAAGGCTGTCTTGCACTTTAAAGACCCTGTCAGTGCAGGTTACCTTGCCCTGCATAGCCGGGAGCGTGATCAGGTGCGGCCTTTTCGAAAGTTTCCGTTCAACTTTTGCTTCTCGCTGAAATTTTTTTGATCCAGTCATGTTTTATTTACTTGATGTCTTTTTTTTCTCGTCTCGACCGCGGTCCTTTGATTGCACGCCGTGTGGGATTGGTATGCCTTGGGGTCGCAGGTGGATTCGCACTTGTATCAGATTTTAGGTTTGCTGGCTGCCACGCCTGAGTTCCGCAATCGACAGTCCCTCAGCGTCATTGTGTCAACATTGATTGAGGGTCTGCGAACGCACTCCTCCAATGCTCTGAATGCCATCAATGCGTATGCACTCCTTCAACAGCAACACATGAAGCGCCTCCTGCCTTCGGTTCGTTGAATGCAATTCCGTTCGCGTTTTTGCCTTTCAACAGACCTCTTCTTGGGTCATTGAGAGTGGCTCTCGTGGCCGATCATCACATGATTGCTGTGTGTCTTCTTCTTTTTTTCCCATTTATGCGAATGATACCTACCATCGATTTGGATTTTTTTTTTTGCTCGGTGCAGATTCTTAGCAAGCTCATGCAAATCAGAACGCAAAAGCGTTTACACCTTTCTTTCCTTGAGTTCTTGTCGCTTGTGGGTCACCTGCCCAGTCTCGCTAGCAGCCTACGCCCTTCCGAGACACGACAGGTTAGAAGCCATGCGTCCCGATGCTGTTTCAACACTGCCCGCCATTTTTATTTTTTTTGCGCGCATTATTGATGGACCGGTCCCTTGGGATTTTTCAGGTTTTTAGCATCTTGCTCGAGTGTTTGCGACGACACCTACCTGTGCCCACACCCATGTCCGAGACAACGCGTTCGCGTAGCTCGACCCAAACAACTCCCAGCAAAGGCCATGAGCAGAAGGGGGGTGGACGACTGAGCGGCGCCGATCGTGATCCACGCATGTCCGCGGGCGACGTCCGGGCTTCCAGTGGCACCTCTGGTGCTCCGGTAGATGTGCCACAGGGCGAGAACGGAACCAACTCCAACGCCAGTGGCAGCGCATCTTCGGATACCACAGCTCACATGCCTGCATACATGCGCATGCTCACGCTCCATGTACTATCTTTGTGGTACGTGCGCAGTCCTCTCAATGACCGCGCGACATATGCCAAAGCGATCTCCGATGGTACGTGGCAAGCAAACCAAATGCATTTTTCTAGCTCAAATCATTGGGCGCCCGTGATGGCATCAGTCCTGGTGCAAAGCTTATCGACACGTATGCATGTATTTTGCACTCTCAGCTTTGATCGATATCGAGCATGGCAAAACAGTGGCGCTGCGCATGTCAAATGAAGGCCAAGTACTGCTGCAGCTGCTCGGTCGCTACATGTACTCGGATCATATCGACGCCTATTCCCAGGTCAGCCATGTGACCCTTTGCATGTGACGCACTCAGGCACTTTTTTTTTTTTTTTTTTTTTTTTTTTTTTTTTTTTTTTTTTTTCACCCAGAGTTCATGAGGCATTCTTGTGGGTTGGCTGGTGACAGGCATTGCCGCCAGATGTAGAAAGCCTCTTCCGGATGAAAAATGCCTCCACCCTATCCTACCTACCCTCAGATACACACGTGACCTACTGGCGGCACGGCAACGTGCTAGTTACCGCGCGCTGTAGCCCTTCAGGCTGGATGGAGGTGAGATCAGAGCATCAATGTCCGTGTATGTATGTTGGGGGAGGGTGGCATTTGATTCAAGAGGCTGTTTGGGCTAGTTGCGCCCCACTTCGCCAGGTGTGGCTCATATTGCGTTTACATGCCACGTTACCGTGTAGATGCGTCTGCGATCAAGCGTGGGCACAGTGGCTTGGATTACACGCATCATGTCCAACGTGGAGCCGGTACTTCAGGGCAGCTCTGCTTTGGATGTTTGGCTCAAATCGCTAGGACCCGACTTGGTTAGCCACCTCGAATCCCTTCAAGAAGAGAGCGGTGATGTCTTTGAGGAGGGTGCGCGGCGAGGTGCCCCAGGACCAGCGAGTGGTGCCAACAGCGGGAGCGGCGTCAGCCCGATTGTCAACTCGCTCAACGTCCTCGATCTGAACCCGAGCATTCTGAGCGCCTCGCCGAGTCGAGTCGAGCAGCGGCCGGCCCTCAAAGTGGCTGCACAAACGCAGACGCCGGCGGTGTTTCCCGGCGACGTGCTCAAAACATTGGATGAGCCTTTGCCCGCGGTAGTCGAACACAACAAATTACGTCGCGTGCACAGTGCCTTGCCTGCAGCTGACCCCGTTTTTACCTTCGGCGCTGGCCTCTCTTCTGAGGCTGAGACTACCGGTGGGCCTTTGATGCGTCGTCCACTTTTGCGCAGTGGTACGCTGCAGCCATACCAGGGCCTCAGTGCCCCTAATAGCCCCATCTCTCGTCGTCGAGTGCTCTCCAACTCTGCGATTAGTGAATTCATGGGCACTGACGACAATGAGGATGCCGACAGTGCAAACGGGGACGATGATGTTACGACCATTGCGGACCTGAACGAACATGAGGGTAGCAGTGACGCAAATGAACATGCCGAGGCCGATGAGCTGGAGGAGCATGCTGTGGGTGAGACTCTGGCATCGGCGCGCCGTAGGCGCCTCAGTCTCAGTCGCATGGACCGAAGCAGTGCAGCACCAAGCAGCAACAACCTGGTTCATCGGCGTCAGGTATCCATCACACCTCTTAATCTCAGCATGGTGCCCTCTCGCGGCCTATTGCCACCCCGTTCACGAAGTGTGAGCCAACGCTCGGCCCTGCAGACCGATCACAGCAACATGGCATCACCCGCGTCCGAACACTATCCAGAGAACACGGATGCGCTGGACGTGATACCCCTGGGTGAGGCAGACTTTGAGGAGCAAAGCCGAATTGTGCGCGAGGCCGCTATGCAACGTGAGGACACAAACGAACCCGTGGCTTCCTCCTTGCCTGGGTCCCTGCCGATGGCATCTGCGCTGGACATGACCCGCCTGCAAAGAGCACAACTTGCTCGCAATCTAGAGGAAAATTTGAGCGAAGATCCATCAGGTACACCACGCGCACATCATACCACTATGCAGCCACGGCTGCTATCCCCCTCCCCCTTTCTTTTTCTCTCCTTCTCTCCTTCTCTCCTTCTCTCCTTCTCTCTTTCTCTCTTTCTCTCTTTCTCTCCTTCTCTCCTTCTCTCCTTCTCTCCTTCTCTCTTTCTCTACTTCTCTTGCGCAAGCGCATTGCTGCACTGTGAACGTCTGGGCAGTTTGCTGTCTGCACCTCACTTCTACGGGACGGCTGACTCATCCATTATCTTGTTCTGACCCGCCTTTCTCTTCGTGGCACTCAGAGGATTCGCCTTCCAAGTTTCGGGGTGTGATGAAGCTCCGTGCAACGCAACGCTTTCGGTCGAGGCGGACGACTTTGTCATCTTCACTCCCGTTGGGGCCACCCCGGTCAGCCATGTCGCTGGATGATCTAAGCCGCTCACCCCCAAACGTCACAAGCAGAGCCACGCTGGTCGAAGCAGCACACTCCCGCGCAAGCGGTTCTCGCGATGCATACAGCACGGAAGACTTGACGGTATAGTTTTTAAACACACGCTTTTTTTTTTTTTTTTGTTTGTTTTCTTGCTCGCAGCTTTTCCTTTTCTGTCTCTCCAACTTTTTCTGGCCTGTCAATCTCTTACAGCGCTTACTCACTGGTCAATCACTTCGCGTCAATGCACATCTGACGACGACGCTAGGCACAAGCTCGGGATAGTATGGGCTTGCCCACAATGGCCGTCCCAGTACCGCGCTCGCCATCTTTGCTAGTGCCAGGATCGCCAACCCCGAGTCGAGGCCTTCGTGCTAGCTCGCTGGAAGGGCCTGCAAGCGCTCCTGCTGTGCCCGAGGCCACGCACCCCGCCTTTGATCCAATCGTAATGCGGCGTGCGGGTGATGAGCTTAAGGATCATTCACCTGGTGCGGTGTCACCAGCACCGAGCACCGAGGCGGACACCGTCGAGCCATCCGACACCAGTGGCTCAATGGCCCCCACTCGCACCAGCAGCACGCGCATTGATGGCTATGGAGGCGTGACCAGCGCTAGCACGACCGCGCCACCCACCACCAAGCCCTCTGTTAGCAGCTCTGAGCAAGATGCCGACGACAAAGCTTTGTCCAATGACAACAAGGACACCGATGCCTCTGCTCGCGGTGATGCAAACAAATCCGCACCTCTGCGGTCGGACCCCCACAATACCGCAGACAAGGCGCCGCTTCTGTCCGACCTGCCGCTACCCAACGATCGTCCTTTGCCCTTGGCGAAGAACACAGATCGCGCTCGGGGCGGCACGGAACCCAGAGAGGAACTTGAAACTTCTCCCAGAGAAGCGGTGGTCACCTCCATCATCTCCAAGGGCTCAACGCGCTTTGATGCACCACAGGTACGGCAGCAAGCAAAGGCGGCCTCTGAGGAAGAAAAGGAATCGGCCCCCACCAAGGAGCTTCGCAAGGCCCCCAGCAAGTTGTCGGCCATCCGCACAGCGGCGGCCGTTCCAACTCGCGATTCAATATCCAACTCGCCATCGCCAGTCTCACCGTCGGATGACCGGCGCAAACAAAAAACTGCCTCTCAAGAACTGGACGATGTGGCCGAAGAATCTACCTCGGGCGTTGCACGAGCGTCTTCGACCGCCGCGACCCGTGCTGTCGAGTCTACAGATTCAGGAAACAACGTTGATGAAACGTCGAGCAACGCTCTCGCCGGCGAGGCTGAACTTGGCTCAAAAACCTTGGCTTTGCTTCAGGACCCTGTGGTCAATGATGTAACGGGACTTGCGCGTCTCAATGATCAAGGCGCTGCGGCCCCGCCACGTCACAGCTCCCTAGACAGTTCGCTTCTCGAGGCCACGCGGCGCAAGGTGCGCGAGCAGCAAATGGCTTCAAAGCGCTATTCCGAGGGGAAGATTCAGTCCGGCCATGCACGCGAGACGGGGGACATTCCCGAGAGCAATGAGAAGAAGACCACGGGCCGAGGTCAACGAGGACGCCGTCGCTCTTCGACCATCGCCGCGCATCCGCAGCTAGCGATTGCACAGGAACTGCTCGACAAGTTTGATTTGCAGGCTGAGGATGCGCGCAAGGAGAGTGACATCGTCCTCTCGAGCTCCCTTATCCGCTTTGCCTTCTCCAACACGCGAATGCCTCCTTATCTGCTGGAGAGCGATTCGCTCTTGGCGCTGCAGCGTGCCGCACCTCCTAATAGCGGGGATGGACATGCCGAACCTGCGCGTCGCACACGACCCAAGGACTCGTTCACGCCTGCACCCACTAACACGGCGTTTACCGAAAAGCTTTTTGACCACAATCAGATTACCATTTCACAAAACGCGTTTGAAAACTCGGAGCTGTATGGCGCCCTTCAGGTCCGCGTGGCTTGCCTTGCTGTGACATCAAACAGTTGGAAGGAGGTTCTCACGTGTCTCTCTCCTGGCTCTTGGCCCTTGCGTCGACGATGCTGTTTCTTTTGGTTTTCTAGCTCTTAGATCGGACGCCTGCGTTGGAGACGCACAAGATTGGCGTCGTGTATGTGGCACCCGGACAAGCCTCGGCTCCAGAGATTTTACGAAATCCGTGCGGCTCGCTGCGCTACACACAGTTTCTCGAGGGTCTTGGGGTATGAACCTGCGACACCTTTTTTCAGCTCGTCCCTCTGCGCATTCTATCGGGCTTTGTTTGCTCGCCGTGGACCACAGCGGCTGGCCCGTGGCCCTTGTTTGTTTGTATTTTGGATAATATTTTTGTTTTTCTTGCATTTTACCTCATCGACTTTGATTTTCTTGCTCTTGTGCCCCTTCTCCCGAGTAGAATCTGATTCGGCTGAGGAATGCCTCGGAGTACTGCGGCGGCTTGGATACAAAGGAGGATCGTGATGGTCTCTTTGCTTATGTTTGGAAGGTACGTAGGCGCAAGCTTTGACATATCTTCAAAAACTCTTGTTCTCACGCTGGGCTTGCTTTGTCGACAGGATGCGTTGACAAGCGTCGTCTTCCATGTGGCAACACTCATGCCGAACCTCGAGCGCGATGAGAAGTGCATGAACAAGACTCGCTTCATCAGCAACGACCATGTGACTCTGGTACGATGCTGGCCCACGACGTTTCCTCCCTGGTTCCACCGCCCTTCTTGACAGCTCGCCTCTTCCATCCGGATTTGTCTCCAGGTGTTCAATGATTCGCATCAGGAATTTGATCGTGACTGGCTTCCAGGCGCTGTCAACTTTGTTTTTATTGTCATCGAGGTGCGTTAGCGTCGCAGCTTCCGCAGCGACCCCCGTGCTCATTGTCTTTGCACTCACCCCGGGCCTTCAATCTACAGCCATTGGATTCCTTGAACTACCGAGTGTCTGTGCATATTCGCAAGGGCATGGAGAAGTTTGTGGCCGTGTCCAGTCATCGGATTGTGAGCACCGAATATGCGGCTATTTACGTGCGGCAGGTGGCCATGCATGCCAATCTGGCCGTTTTGGCCCACCGAAAGCAACCCACCACTTTTTTGGATCGCTTCAAGCAGATTGAGGTGTGTGTTGCTCGCGCTTTGCTATTGCTACCTGCAGCCTCTTGACTCCAACGTGACGGGCCTCAACATTCTGTGTGTCACTATGAACGTCACTTCGCAGCGTATTTTGGAGCGCTTTGGTGTTCCGTTTCCTGACAATTGTAACCCAGCGGTAAGCTTACCTGGTGTAGCTCATGCAAGCTTGACTAAAAATCAGTATCACCACAACAGATGAATCTCATGTGTCTGTGACCCATCTCCTCCCCTAGCATGTTGCATGGACGTTGTTACCGTAAAGGGTGGCTTGCATCTTGACCTTCGAGCTTGAACAAGGCTTATCTACCTTGATCGAGCGTCCGCTGGTCTACCTGCAGAGCCTTCCGATTTGTTTTTTGTTTTTTTGTTTGTTTTTTTGCTTGTCTGCTTGCCCATCATGACTTGAAACGCGGGCCGTGCCCGTGACCATACATTCAAGGTCCTCAAGTCATCATGGGGGGGAGCATTGGCTGGCACAGCCAAAGTCCTCCCCGTTGTGTTTGTGTTGTGCGCCCAGTGGGAGCTGATGGGTTTAGAGTGACCCAGACGAATTAACACTACATAAGATTCCTTCCCTTGCCAGTATTCTTTCCAGGCACAAAGACGACGAGAGAGTCGGCGACGTGCAACCTTGATTGCATGTGTGCAGCACAGTTCTCGAGCATATTTTTCAATAATTTTGGCCACATTTTTAAAAGTAGAACGAGGCTTCCTCTGGCGAACTTTTTCGCGACGATGGAATTTCAAAGCCTCACTTGTTCAAGTTCAGGGCTTAGAGGTTTCAGGTTTGAGCATTTGCGCAGCACTTGTACAAAAACCCGACGTGGAGTCTGAAGACGACGAAACTCAACGATAATTTTTATTATTGTGATTTGTGTTGGTGACTGATGAGAGTAACGCGATGTGCCTCGGAACACATTGAGATACGACACGAAAGGTGAAATCACATGAAATCAAGCACATCTGATGACATCGATTCAGGAGGAGGCACTCAGTGCCGAGGCAATGCAGGCAGCACGCCAGGCGCTAATAGCACGCTTCAGCGTCTGATTCTGAATGGTATTAGGTCCCATGGGCGCACGGGTGAGGGGGCTGGTCAAATGGCGTGCTAGCCACGCTCGGATTGCTTCACCCTCATACGTGTTGCCATCCTCTGCCACAACGGGATCTTCCATGATATTGCGCGTGATTGGACACACGTATGCATCGGGTGGGTTGGTCAAGGTTTCGTAGCGTTGGGAGTACTGCACACAGAGGGTTTGCAGCTGCTCTACTAGGGCAGCAAGCTGTTCTGCATCGTGATTTTGTGTACCTTCGGCTGCAAGACGCAAGCGCCCCCCCACATCCAGCAGCACCGTTTGCAACGGCCCCGGCAATGTGGGCAGCCAAGTGGACATGTCTTCCCGGGTCAGGGAGCACAGGACAGCGCCATCAATGTCATGCGCCTGAACGGCTTCGAGGCACGGCTCGGGCGCTTCTTCATGGAGCCGCAAGAAACGCAACACCTCTTCGACAGTCCATTCTTGAACGTTGGAGATGAGCTGGCGATTCAGGCGAGCAGCCACGGCCTCACTACTGTCGGATGTATCGTCTGAACTACCATCCACGGCGTGTGTCACCTTGCTGTTGACCTGAGCACTCGATCCGGCGCCCCGTTCATACAGACTATCCAGATTGATGAGGCGCGATGACAGCTGTCGTTGCTTGAAGCTTCCGCGAAACAGCGACAGGCGGCGCGCATCGCCGAGGCGCGTCAAGTTGAGGGCTGCCACGAGATCTCGCTCGCTGCTAGCAAAGAGTGCTGGACCGTCTAGGTTGTGTTGAGTGAGAGCTGTGCTTGCGTTTTGAAGCCCAAGGCGTGAACAAATTGTGGCCACATCAGAGACATCCAAAAGCTCAGGGTCTCCCATCAACAGGGTTGCACGCCAATTGTCAAGCTGCTGTTCAGCCACGCGAAGGGCGCGCTCTGTCGCTCGAGCTTGGTCACGCACAACATTGAGATCCATGTTGTGAACAATTTCGAGCTCATGCTTTTCTTGCTGTGCAGTAGCTCGAAGTTGGGCAATGTTTTGCTCCAGTCGCTGATCCACGGCCGCCTGCAGATCTGCCAATGCCTTCTCCTGTCGCTGGCGCTGGGCTATTTGAGCATCCAAGGTGTGGCGCAAGGTCCGAGCGCGCTCATCATAGCAACGAACCTGAGCCAGCAAGTAAAGGAGCGTGAGGGGAAGCTTATGTTGGGGGTGAAGGCGATGAAGGGGTGAAGGCGATGAAGGGGTGAAGGCGATGAAGGGGTGAAGGCGATAAAGGGCAGAGACCAGTCTCACCATGAATGGAAGCCCCGCTGCTGGAGGGGCAGCAGAAGCGCCATTGTCAGTGTCGTCGTCGGCTTGGCGCCGAGCATTCAAAAGCGCCGTGAGCGCCTCATCGCCTCGATCTCGTGCATAGTCCAGCGGTGTTTTTCCAGTCTAAAAAGCGGCGTAGGCACCCGGGCGCCCCCATAGTCAGTTGGAAGCCAAGGTGATAATGAAAACCATTTCCGAGTCTCGGCAGGTGCCTCTTGATGGAGGCGGTGAGGGGGAAAAAAAACGGGGGAGGGCAAGCCTACACAAGCAAGGTGATGTTAGGGACTGACTCGATCGACGGTATGAACGTGTGCGCCGTGTTCGAGCAGCAGATGAGCCGCCTCAAGGCTACCCTGCTTAGCTGCAATGTGCAACGGCGTCATGCTGTGAAGACCAGCCGTGAGGCAAGGCAGGCAACATGGACTTTGGGACGTGCAGAAAGGCTAAGGGGCCGGAGGAATGGGACCAGGCAGACAATCGAACCGGCTAACGGCAAGCCTATTGACTTCGGCACCCGCGAGTATTAAGAGCTCAACAAGGCTGGTCAAATTTTTGCCTGCAGCCATGTGTAGAGGCCCGTATCCCTACCGGCCAACCCGCGGTGAGAAGGCCTCGTAAACATGGACAAGGCAGCCCTGCAACAAATTCTTGACAGGTTGCCCCACTTACTCGGAACGTGCGATCACGATTGACGTCAATGCCAGCCTCAATGAGCACCTGCGCAGCCCTAATGTCGCCCTGGCCAATGGCCAGGTGAAGCGCTGTTTGACCCATGCCGTCTGCGCGCGTGGGCGGCCACAAATGAACAGTCACAGAGAGAGAGAGAGAGAGAGAGAGAGAGAGAGAGAGATGTTCACAAACAAGGGATATACCAACACACCCCACACGCCATCAACCCCACCTACCAATTGCACGCATATCAGCCGGAGTCACGCGACTCAGGTCACCAGCCTGCGCCATCTCCAACATGGCCCCGACCGTCGGCATC